ATTTTTGTATTTCACCCCAGCATACCTCCACAGCTTTGTTCACAGGCATGTAGACCACCTGTACATTCCAGTGCTTCTGGGCCATGGGAGTGTGTATTTGTAGCCTGCACCCAAAGGTGATCAAGTACAGCTAACATTTCCTAAGACATACAGGGTTAAGGCGGTGTCCCACTCAAGGTAATCTTCTCTAGTTCCATCCATATAAATGCAGAGTTCATGACTTTATTTTCTTTTCAGTACTGCATTGTGTATATGTACCACATTTCAATTATTCATTAAACAGCTGAAGAACATTTAAGTTGTTTCCATTTCCTAGCTATTGTAAATAGAGAAGGCAGCAGTGAACATGACCGAGCAAGTATTTGTGGAGTAAGATTTCCAGTCTCTGGGACATGATGCCGGGGAGTGGTATATCTGGGTCATATGGTAGATTTATTTTTAGCTTTTGAGGGTTTTCCACAGTGGTTTTGAAAGCGGCTGTACCAGTTTTCAATTCCAGCAACAGTGAGCAAGGATTTCCTTTCTCTATATCTTTTCCAGCTTTTGCTATGGGTTGTTTAGTTGACCTTTTGCCATTCTGACTAGGATAAGATGAAATCTCAAATTTTGTACCATTATCATATTATTATGCTTCTATAATATATTTTGAAGTCTGGAATTGTAATCCTTCCCGCATTGCTCTTTTTGTTCACGATTGTTTTGGCTATTAGGGGTCTTTTGTGGTTCCATATGAATTTTAGGATAGTTTTTTTTTTTTTTTTTTTTTTTTTTTTCTGTTTCTTTTTTGAATGAGATGGGGATTTTGTTTGAGGTTGCACCATTTTTATAATGTTGATTGTAGTCCATGGAGTGTCTCCTCATTTTCAGGTATTTTCCTCAATTTCTAAGATTTAAAGTTTTTATTGTAGATGACTTTCTCCTCCTTTAAGTTTATTTACAGATAATTTATCATCATTGATGCTATTATAAACGGGAATGGTTCCATGATCTCTCGATCTCTCTCTGTGTGTCAGTTGTTGGTGTATAGATAGGTTATTTATTTTTTGTAAGTTGATTTTTGTATCCTGCCATTTCATTGAAATTTTTATCTTTTCTAGAAGTTTCCAGGTGGGATTTTTGAGGTTTTTTTTTTTTTGTGTATGCCATATCATCATAAGAATACTTTGACTTAATCTTTTCTTTTTGGTATTTTAATTTTCTTTTTATGTCTTAGTTGCTCTAGCTAGTGCTTTGAGCACAGTATTGAAAAGGAGTTGAGAGAGTGGACAGCCCTGTCTTATTCATGGTTTCCAGGCAGAAGCCCTTGGAGTTTTGTTGCTGTGGAGGTGGTGATAATGACTTTGAATTGCCCATTCTGTTCTCATTGTAGGGGTGTTTGGGATGTTTGGAATTCTGAGATATACCCATTGCCCAACCTCAAGATGGAGGTTGAGGTTAAGTAGGGGGTGTGGGAGTGTTTGGTTCATGTTGATCCAGGCTTTGTTGGAGGAGAGGAAGTTGGAGCACAGGAAGTTAGCATTGAATGGAGAGAGCTGGCAATCCTGGGGTCACAAGGGATCTGCCTTCTAAAAGATGAAAGGCACTTGGGTTTATGGCTTACACAGGAGGGAACAGACCTTTAGAGGACCAGTGGGAGAGGTTTGGTCCACTCTAAATGCAAGTCTATGGATAGTTTGGTTAGGGACTCTTCGTGTTCAGTTATGTGTTCCACTTTGCAGGGGATTGGGAATCATTTGATGTTAAAGGGTATGGTTAGGCATTTGGAGATAAATTTGGGGCCGCTGTTTTTTTTTTTTTTTTACTGAGAATAGGAGTGGCCCAAACTGAGTATTATTATGTCTGTGGTGGTAGTGATTTTGAAACTGTTGTGGCATTTCTGTTTGGTGTGGGAAAGGCTTGAACTCCTCTTGCAATTGTGTCTAGCAGAACAAGAAGATAGTCTGTATCTTCTCCACAGAGTCATTTGTGTTAAATCTGCCTGTCAGCCAGAAGCAGAGTTGGGGTTAGTGGTTTGACTGGTTTTTGCTAACAGAGGGGGCCTATTGTAGCAGTTGTTTGTCCTGTGGGATAGGTAATCCCATGCCAGCAGGAACTGAGTGAGGGCTGGAGGTCTGGGGTGGAAGAGATTATGCAGAGCTGAAAAGAAAAGAATTTTTGTTATGAGCCTTGGGTGAGTTTAACAGTTGATTTTGATAGCACCATGACCCATCCCAGGAGCCATCTTGTGGAATGATTTTGTTTTGCTCTGCTGGAGTAATGGGGGAAGAATATTAGTTTTTGGAAGGGTGAGTGTGTGTGTGGTATTATTTAGCATATTTGTCAGCCAAACTGTTAGTGGTAGAGACATTGGGAATTTGACCGATGTCCCCTGAAGTGAATGATAGTGTTCAGTTTTGACTACTAGGAGGCTTGTAAGAATTTGTGTATAAAAGTGCCATTTTGAATTAGAGTGTTATATTGGGTGAGGAAGCCTTGTTTCCACCAGATGGCTGCATCAGAGCACATCTGTATTTGGGGGGGGGGTCTGTGTATAGGTTGGTTACGGTATCTTTAGCCAGTAGTAGAGCTGCAGTGAAGGCTGTGGATGGGGTGTGAGTGGCATGCTTGTTTGGAGCTATAGATTGTTATTTATTTGTTTGTTTGTTTATTTATTTATGTTTTTCAAAGCAGAGTTTCTCTTTATAGCCTGGATGTCTTGGAACTTGCTCTGTAGACCCAGCTGTAGTCCCAGACTCAGAGATCTGCCTGCCTCTGCCTCCCAAGAGTTGGGATTAAAGCTGTGTGCTGCCATTGCCTGGCTTGGAAATATAGGCTGTATAATAGTTTAAGCAGCTCTTTTGTGACCCTTAGAGGAGCATCTGTCTCAGAACTAGTCAGGGGCATTAGGTATTGTTTATCTAATTGTCTTAGTGTTCTTTGGATATGAAGAGACACAATGTCTAGGCCAACTCTTATAAGGAAAACTAATTTATTTGAGGCTTGTTTACAGTTTCAGAGGGTTAGTCCATTCTCATCATCTCTGGGAGCATGGCAGCATGCAGGCAGACATAGTGCTGGCAAAGTAGCTGGGAGTTCTATATCTGTACTTAACTCCATTACACTTCCTGGTACTCCTTTTCTCTTCAAAGTGTATATTTGTATTTTTCCTTGCTCAGCTTGCCTTTTTTTTTTTTTTTTGTTACAGATCTGCATAAGAGTAGACACTGATAGCCATGAGATTGTCTTGAAATCTTTTCTGCCAAAGCCATTAACTGAAAATCCTTCAATTTAGCTTCAGGTAGATATTTTGGACAAGTGCAAAAGGCAGCCACATTCTTTGCCAATATTTCACAGGGATGGTCTCTAGGCCACTTATTAATATTTTTGTCCTCTGAAATCTCTTGAGCCAGGTAGCCATAACATACATTGTTCTCAGCATCATCGTCTTTTTGCATCCCTACTAGTGTGGCCCATTAAGCCTTACTTTAAGCATTCAACTTCTTTCCTAATCCAAAGTCCCAAAGTTCACATTCTTCCAACAAACAGCATGGTCAGCCTGTCATGATAATGGTCCAGTCCTGGTACCAAGTTCTGTCATAAGCTGTTCTATTGATGTGAAGAGACACCATGACCAGGCCAACTCTTACAAGAGAAAGAACTTAATTGGGGGCCTGCTTATAGTTTCAGAGGTCTTCATGGTGGGGAACATGGCAGCACATAGGCAAACATGGTACTGGAGAAGTAGCTGAAGGCATAGTCATCAGAAAGAGAAAGACACTGGGGTGATTGTTCCAGTATCCTTTTGTTCTGTATCTCTTAGGTTAGGCTAGGTTAGGTTATTAATTTCTTCTGGTTTAACTTTGGTGGTTTGGATGAATCTAGAAATACAGTCTTTTATGTTTAAATGAGTACAGTTTTCTTCTTTTTTACTGTTCCTGTGTAATATTCAGAATTTCTTTGATCTTTGTTGTTATGTGTCCTTGTTCATCTCTGACTCATTGGAGGACAATTCTGTAGGACTGTTGGGTTTGGGGTTTGGGGGTGGCTAGAATACTGTATTGATTTTTCATGTTTGTATTTTTTTTTTTTTTTTTTGTCATGAGACCTGGGCACATGAACTTCTTTTGTTAATTCTGAGTCTGATATGGACATAACATACTGGGACACACACAGCACACGGGCTGGGTTTGGCTTGGAGAGTAAATATGATGTGGGTGGGATGGAGTCAGATGGACATAGAGGGGTGGACTGGTGCACAGTATGGATATTCTAGTCCAAGCTTGGAGGTTGGGGTGGGGTGGGCTGGGGTCAGATGAGGAGGGGGACACTAAATTTGAACCTGGGCTGGATCTGGGGACTGAGGAAGGCACATGGAAAGGAGGAGATGCTAAGCTCACCAGGGTGGATCTTGCAAGACACATGGGGCCAAACTGGGCCTGGAGTTGGATATAGCTTGGGGGTGCGGGGGAATGAAGTCAGGTGGTAGGATGAGGCCTGGCTACTGCACAGGTATGTGCCCTGGCCCAAGCCTGGAGGTTGGTGGCAGGATGTGGGATGGAGGCTGGATCTAGGGGTTGGGGATGGTGCCTAAGGAGAACATCTGGTGGACTTACCTTGCTGTCCCCTGCTATAAGACATGTAGTCCTGGGCTGCTCGGTATGAAAATCTTGTTTCTCTCTTGTTGAGTGGCTGCTTCTAGCTCTGTTTTCTGTTACCACAGCTTGTCAGGTGGTTGAGTAGCCGTATGGGCTTAGCATTCAGTCTTTGGGAAATTTACTGTTGATGTTCAGCCAGGGTTTCGGGAGTAGTTCCAGCTCAACTCTGGATAAGTCGGATTTCTATGCCCAGGAGCAGACCTTCTGCAGAGTTTCAGGATTCTCACAATCTTCAGGAGCCTGTGGGGAGGCGCTCATGACTTTCCCTCAGGCAGTGGGTGCTTATAGAACTGGCAATGCAAGTGTGGCATCCCTATCAAAAATACTCAGCCTTAAGGATAAAAATGTGACTTCCTTTCCTTTTAGGTCTTACCTAAGCTTGCCAAGCCTGCACGTCCTTGGGAGCAAGCAATGAAACAGAGCTTCGCCTTTGACAATGTTGGCTATGAGGGGGGTCTGGACCACACCTGCTCACTCCCAGCCACCACCAGTGTGGTTAGCATCCTGGGCATGACTTGCCACTCTTGTGTCAAGTCCATTGAGGACAAGATCTCGAGTCTGAAAGGCATTGTGAGCATTAAGGTTTCTCTGGAACAAGGCAATGCCACCGTCAAGTATGTGCCATCAGTCATGAACCTGCAGCAGATTTGCCTTCAGATTGAGGATATGGGCTTTGAGGCCAGCGCTGAAGAAGGAAAGGCAGCCTCCTGGCCGTCCAGGTCCTCCCCAGCCCAGGAGGCCGTGGTTAAGCTCCGTGTGGAGGGCATGACGTGTCAGTCCTGTGTCAGCTCCATCGAAGGCAAGATCCGGAAACTACAAGGGGTTGTGAGAGTCAAAGTCTCCCTCAGCAACCAAGAGGCAGTCATCACCTACCAGCCTTACCTCATTCAACCTGAGGACCTCAGGGACCACATCTGTGACATGGGATTTGAAGCTGCCCTCAAGAGCAGAACGGCCCCCTTAAGGCTGGGACCAATTGACATAGACAAGTTGGAAAACACTAACCTCAAGAGACCAGCAGTCTCTCCTAACCAGAACTCCAATAACTCTGAGACCCCGGGGCACCAGGGGAACCACGTCGCCACCCTCCAACTGAGAATAGATGGGATGCACTGTACATCGTGCGTTTTGAATATTGAAGGAAATATAGGCCAACTCCCAGGGGTTCAAAATATTCAAGTGTCCCTGGAGAGCAAAACTGCCCAAATACAGTATGACCCTTCTTGTACCACCCCCTTGTCCCTGCAGACGGCCATTGAGGCACTGCCCCCTGGGCACTTTAAGGTTTCTCTTCCTGATGGAGTAGAGGGCGATGAGCCTCAGAGAAGGTCTTCCAGTTTTCCCTTCCCTGGCTCTTCCCAGAGGCCTCAGGAGCAGGGCTGGTACAACACTGCACAGCTCACCATCACTGGCATTACTGGTGCATCATCTGTTCAGCCCATCGAAGGCATGCTGTCCCAGAGAAAAGGTGTGCGGCGAATATCCATCTCTGTGGCTGAAGGGACTGCAACAGTTCTTTACGATCCCTCAGTAGTTAGCTCAGATGAGCTCCGAGTTGCTGTAGAAGACATGGGATTTGAGGTGTCAGTGAATTCTGGTATGTCATTGTTACCTGTTTGAAGTGTATCTGGGGTTCTCTCTTGATGTCTTATGATGGTTCTCAGGTAGTTGAATTAAGTGATCCCTGTCACTGCCTCACACATTGGCAGTTATAGTCAGGTTTGCTGACCTTTGCTCATTTGCCATTTGTTAGTAGCAGGAGAGTGAAAATGCTGTTTCCAGTTACTGCCTCTCATATAACTGATGCTCAGATGGTAGATTCATGATGGGCTTCTTTCCTAGAGAGAATCCTGAGAGTCTCTAAATGAGCATTGTCTGAGCATGTATTCTCTAAACGAATATGATAGGACTGTCAGACTCTTCTCTTCCTGAAGGGACAGTTGTTACTTTCCCTGAAGATTTCTCTACAACACAGAACAACATAAAAGCAATAGAACTTGGGGGCTGGAGAGATGACTCAGAGGTTAAGAGCCATGGCTGCTCTTCCAGAGGTTCTGAGTTCAATTCCCAGCAACCACAGGGCATCTCACAACCACCTAAAATGAGAGCTGGTGCCCTCTTCTAGCATACAGGCATACATGCAGGCCGGACACAGCTTGCATAAACAAACAAACAAATAAATCTTTAGCAACAACAACAACAAGCAGCAGAACTTTAGTCTTACAGGGCATGGTGGCACATACCTGTAGCCAATGCTTAAGAGGCTGAGGGACAATCAAAACAAACAAACAAAAAGTTGATGCGGGGTGTGTGTGTGTGTGTGTGTGTGTGTGTGTGTGTGTGTGTGTGTGTGTGTGTGTGTTTTCAAGGACAGTCTTGGCTAAGTGGCAAGACCCTGTCTGAAAAACAAAATGCCATGCATTGTGGCACATTGCATGCCTGACATTTCAGACCTCATGGGGATGGTAGAGACAGAAGGATCAGGGTCAAGGCCTCCCTCAGCTACATGGCAAGTTCAAGCCTAGTGTTGGCTATATTAGTCCCTATCTCAAAAAACCAAATAACAAAGCCTCAAAACTTGCAGCAACTGAAGGGTTGTCTGTTAAAAGTAGAAATTAAGGAAAGGATTTTACAATGACTGTTCCTGCTTCCTTTGATGGCTTTTAGACAGAGCCTTTATGGAAGGGTGGGTGTGCTGGGGCTCATAAGGAAGGGCTCCCATTTTGAGATGCTGAAGGATGGTGTGGAAGCTGGAGATAAGTGAAGGAGTGCTGGGGATGAGAACACAGGTAGCATTTCTCAGATGGCAGCCTGGAGGTGAGGGCAGCTCAAGAGGCCATGGAAGCCAAGGTGAGCAGCTTCTATCACATTTAGCTAGGGAGAGGCTATCAGTCCTCTACACACAGGGAAAGTAGGAGCCTGGCTTTCTTAGGGAGGCTTTCAGTAGAGCAGAGGACATGTAGAGGGGGATAGAGGCAGCAGGTACCAGAGAGGCCCAAAATGAAGGACAGGGTATTCCCTCCCTCCCTCCCTCCCTCCTTCCCTCCCTCTCTCCCTCCCTCCCTCCCTCCCTCCCTCCCTCCCTCCCTCTTTACTTTTGTAGCCCAGGTTAATGTCAAATGCATTGGGCTTAAGCATTCCTGACCACAGTCTACCCAGTTGGGGACTAGAGCTGACTGGGACACCTGCTGAGCAGACAGCTCTGAGTTGTGATGTTGTGAAATACCTTAGTTCCCTGGTCTGTATCATGGTGGCCTAGATCATGGTGGCCACTGAGCCTTTTGCTTGGAGCCTGCTGCTGCTCTTGGTGTGTCTGTGCTGGCCCTTAAGGCTACTTAGAGAACACCCAGGCAAAGCCCCAGCAGCACCCAGGGCCTCTGTACTTGTTTCCCAGCCTGCATACCGTCTGTCTGCCCACTGAGCTGAGCTGTGTCCTTGGAAAGACCCCTCTGTTGGAATACTCTACCGGCTCCACTCGGGAACCAGCCACAGCTCCCACCCCAGCAGGTGCAGCATGGGAAATACAGAGGCCACATGCTTTTTTCTTTGTTCCCAGGGTTGTTTTGTTTCCTCACCACGTTTTGTTCTCCACACCCTGGAAAGAATGTGGTGTGTTTGTGTTTAAACAAAGTCAATAAAGAAAATAACAGAACAGTAAATCTTGTACTCCAAAGACATATTGAAAAGGCTCAATATAAACTGTTTTGTGTGAGGCTTAATCTTTCTATGGTACAGTCAGGTTTTGGCACCAAAAGAGAATGACTATGGAACTACATATTAAAAGGAATTGAACTTGATTGAGCAAACACAGGAAGAAAAGAACTAACTTATATTAGGTTGAACTGTGAGGATTATATTCACTAAGTGTGTGGGATCTAGTGACTAAAAATATAAACACTCAGCTAATTTCAGATAAGTACTAATGATTTCTTTTGTATAAATATATTCACAATGAAGGTATATTTACATTAGAGAAGAGTGTCAATGACTTGGAAATGAAATTTAACTGGATATCCTGTATGGACAGTTTTCATTTAGGTTAACTTGTCATTGAGCTTATGATGCTGAAGAGCTGGTACACAAGATCAGTGGAGGTTATTTACCAGGTCACAGAAAATGAGCAACCCATCCCGACAAACATTGAGATTTGTTCAGAAGAAAAAGTTGGACTCCATAGCTTGTTGTCAGCATGAGTGGTCACTAGTCATCCTGTCTCCTGTACTAGAATAAATGGCAGTCTTATCATCAAGTCACACTATTTCTATTTCTACATACACTTAAGAGTATTTTGCATTATGATGAATGATGGAATGATGAATATGTTTCTATATTAGTTTATATAGTCTTGGTCACAGTTCTGTTGCTGTGAAGAGACAAGACCAAGGCAACATTTATGATAAAAGAAAGGGTTCATTTGGAGGCTTGCTTACAATTTCAGGGGGTTTAGTCCATTATCATCATGGCAGGGAGCATCGTGGCAGGCAGACAGGCATGGTACTGGAGAAGTAGCTGAGAGCTATATCCTGATCCACAGGTGGAGAGATGGGGGTGGGGGTGGGGCTGGCATGGGCCTTTGAAACCTCAAGGCCCACTCCCAGTGACACACCTCCTTCAACAAACCTCACTTCCCAATCCTTCCCAGATAGCTTACCAATTGGGAACTAAACATATGCAAACACATGAGCCCCAGGGAGCCCATCTTATTCAATCCACCACAGTGCTGGCTAGTTCTGTCTGTGTGTATATGTGGTAGATAAAAGAATGGTCCCTGTGGTGTGGTATCCACACTTGAGTACCTGGAACCTTTGAATGTTTGATCTTAAATACCATAATAGACAGTATAGATGGGATGAAAAGAATGGATCTTTGGTAGGAAGATGCTGAATTATCCAGGTTGACCCAGTTATGTCCCATCATCCAGTAAAAGTGGAGAACCTTTCCTGGCTGGGCCAGTTTGATGTGACAACTGAAGAGACATTTGAGAATGTCAATTTTGAATATGAGGAACTGGGTCTGGGAACCTGGGAATAAACAGATTCTCCAATAGAACCTCATGGAGGACACAGCCCTCCTGATGCCCTGATTATAGTGTTGTGTAACTGACTAGAGTACTCTAATACTTTGTGACCTTTGAGCCACCAAGTTTGTGGCAATTTATAGTTATAGTAGTAGGAAGAAGCTAACTTAATGTCTTTTAGACTTGGAGAGGTGCTTACCCTTTAGATTTGTATATCTTTTCTAAGTAAGTTGTGCCTTCAAAAAAATATACAGTGTTATAGTAGTTCACAGATAGACATAAAAGGTCAGTAGACATTATAGAGCCAAGAGGCAGCCCATTTGTGTCACTGGAACTCTGGGGGAGAAGATGCTGGTCCTTTCAGGCTATGGAAGGAGACTGCTTTCTTTCCAGGTAGCTCTGGGTTTAGTGAGAGATGCTGTTTCAATAAATGAAGTGAAGAGTAATCAAAGAAGACACGTGATGTCAACTTCTGTCCTCCATATGCATGTCTTTCTTCATGTGCCCCCACACATGGATGTGCAGACATGTGATATCAACTTGAATCCTCCTCATGAATTTATACTGACTTGTACCCCATATATATAGAAACGTGATGTTAACCTCAACCTCTGTCTCCCACATACATGTATATCCACATGCACCAACACATACCTGTGTGCCCAAACACATACTCATGTGCGCGCGCGCGCGCACACACACACACACACACACACACACACACACACAGAGAAGTCACATGTATGCACAAAGAAAACTGCATTAATATTTTTGCCAAGTTGAGATAGCATCTATTAAAAGTAATAAGCATTTATAAAGGTTGGTTTTTATTAACATATGAACTTTGTTTACCAAAGGCATCATCAGAAGGATGACAACACAAAACACAGGCCTGGTGGGCACATTTGCAGCGCTTGTCACTGACCAAGCTATCTGACAGATACAGGGGGGAGAGACAGTGTTGGCAATATCAGTTCCCATGCAGCTTCTCCAGGAGATTTAATCTGAGTATTGTCATGCTTGAACCTCCTGTTGTAACTAGCAAAATTGCTTTCTGTCTTCTAATTATTTCTCACATTTTATTATAGAAGACTTTCCTATCAACCATGTCAGAAACTTCAGCTCTGGGAATTCTGTGCCACATACCCTGGGTGGCACACCAGTGTCTGTGCAGAACATGGCTTCCAACACTAGAGGGATCCCTACAAACAGTAACCCCGGCCACTCGTCAGATACCCCACCATCGCCGGGAACAGCAGCATCACAGAAGTGCTTTTTACAGATCAGAGGCATGACCTGCGCGTCCTGTGTGTCTAACATAGAAAGGAGTCTTCAGAGGCATGCTGGTAAGAGGCCTGCCACCCAGCCATCCAGTGGCAAGCCCATCACATGATAATATAGATGCTTGTCTAATGTCCCTGTAGATTGGCATTCTGTCCTTTAGGTAGCATTTACTTTGTCACAAAGTATATATTTCTGAGGACATTAGCCATGGAAGTCTAGTCCGAAGGTCATGTTGTGTTCTATGGAAAGATTTCTTCTCAATTAGCTTTTCCCTGTATTATTCAGTCTCCTACCCACACCAGTCCTCTAGAAAATGGAAAACTAGCCTGCGCTTAAATTCTCCGGTTTTGGATATCTGTCCTGTTGATGCTAGGGGCTATAAGTTCTGTGCCTGCTGGGTTTTCCCTCCAGATGATGTTCATAATACTGCTCCTTAAAATTGCAAGGGCAGCGATAATCTTGTTCTTGTTTTTGTTTGGAAATCCCTTAGTAGAGGCTCTGCCTGTCCCACCGGAGTGCAGTTGACCAGTGCTGCTTGAAACTTTCTGCTCTGACTGCTGGTCCTTCATCAGGCTTAACTTTGGATGGATGTCCTGTTCTACCAGCCTTCTGGTCATTCTTCAAAACTACCACAGCTCTTGGGTCATCATCCTAAATGGGGATTGTTGCAGGAGGACCTTTGTCAACTGTGGCCTGGTTGTGGATAAATTAAAATATAATTTCATAGTACTTACATTTCTGCTGCTATTCATGGTGTATTTTCTAAAGCACCTTTCACTTATTTGAATGTGACTCTTCCTCCCCCACAAACTAACATGATAGTATTAGCTGGATGGTTAATAGGGTTTTTGATTTTGGAAATCCTTAAAAGTTTGAGAAGAGTAAGTAAAACTGTATTTAGAAAATCTTGAATGCTGGAAAGGGAAAGAAAGGTATGCCCGTTCTGTGACAGTGATTCTGATTACCACAGCTACATCTGTTGCTTTGAAGTGCATGCAATTAGTGGGCCTTCTAAAGGCTTGGCCTGGATGGGCATTTGGAGTCTCAGACCCACCAAATCAGAGTCTGACTTAACAAGGTCCTCAGGTGTCTCATATGCCCATTGATGTTTGAGACATACTCTTTTGGAGCAGTAGCTCTCTCTCTCGAATATAAGTTAGAGTCACCTGAAGAACCTTTTTAAAAATGTCATCTGGCACTTACCCTGGGAGATACTGAGTTTTGTCAGGTCTGTTCTAGGAGACATCAAAGTTGTTCATGGCTCCCCCGCTCATGCCTAGCAAATTCTGAGAGTTAGTGCTCTGCAGGAACCTTAGGGATGTATTTTTCTTGGTTAAACTGTGCTGACAATACCAGCCCATTATCATATCCAGTGTCTCAGCTGTAACTCAACGGTTCTAGGTGTTCTTTCTGTGTTGGTTGCCTTGATGTCGGGGAAGGCAGAAGTCAAGTATAATCCAGAGGTCATCCAGCCACCCCAAATAGCTCAGCTCATCCAGGACCTGGGCTTTGAAGCAACAGTCATGGAGGACAATACAGTCTCTGAAGGTGACATCGAACTGATTGTAAGTACAGTGGCTATCACCTAGAGAGTGCAGGCTGTGGAGGGTGTAGGGCTGAGTCTATGGCAGCTGCTGTCCTTATACTTGCTGGCTGCTGGGCTGTATGCTTGCTTTCGTTTGACCTGTTTAGTCTGGGGAGGAAGATTGGAGTGAGAGGAGGCCATTCTACTGGGTATACCTAGGGTCAAGAGAGATAGATGATGAAGTGTAAAAGTTGAGAGACGAGAAGGCACAAATGGTGGTAAGTAAACGTGGTAAACTAGGAGGCTCATTGTGGCACAGTCCTTCAAGTCTAAAGGTCAACCAACTGTAGGTATTTCTAGACAGAATACTGAAGTCCTTGGAGTAGTGAGCCCCATTCAATGACATATCAATGGCTGGAGTAGGTAGATCTTAGTCTAGTATGCTTGAGACCTTGGATTCCATCCTGTTTTCCCCAAAATGAAAAACAACACAAAGATCGGGGTGACTTGTAGAGACACCAATGTCTACAGGATGAGTGACCAAGAGTCTTAAAACAGTAGGAGGCAAATTCTGTCCATCTGTTGTTGTAGCTGAATGTCAACAAGTTATTGAAAACCATAGCTAATTCTGGCATTTGCTGTATCCTCTGTTTAAAACATATTTGAAGAAAATGCTTTTGTGTGAACAAAGGGATATGTAAAGACTCCCTCCCCTCAGGCACAATTGAGTAATATTGCTTCACTGAGGCAAGTGGGGCCTTTGCTTCCTTGTGTATTTTGTCTCTGCCATTAATGGTAAGTAAATAAACGTTTGAAGAAAAAACATGAGGACGTGTAGTACGTTGAGTTCCTGATAAGTGGTATTCCCTAAAGCACCTATCCTTTGTGCTGGTCCCAGAGGCTGTATGATAAAGGGTAGAGTTAATATTTACTGGCTACAGCAGGGAGCATAATATGGGGAGGAATCCTGATGCAATCCTGTAGGATTCATCACACATAGTAGATACCTTGGCCCCACTGAGACACTGCATAGAAAACCTAAATCAAGAGATGCTTCAGGAAATAATTGCAACCCTGAAGATCAGAGTTCAGATCCCCAACACAAAGCCAGACAGGCCTGGAGGACTTCCTGTCGTGCCACTGTTAAGGAAACAGACTATCCCTGTGACTAGAATAGCTGAATTGGCAAGTTCTGGGTTCAGAGACATACCTACCTGCCTTGATAAACAAAGTGGAGCACAGTCAAGGAAGACACCTGATGTCAAACTACACCTCCCACTTTCGTGTGCACACCAGGCATACATACACATACCTAAAATAAATACATATAGCCGGCAAGTGTGCTTGCTACCAGCCTATCACCTGTATCTGATCCCCAAAACCTACATAGTGAGAATAAAGAACTGACTCCCACAATTCTTCGACCTCCATATGTGGACCTTGGAAAGTGCATTCCTAGGTTCATGAACCACACAAGTAAATAAATGAATAGAAATTGGAAAAAGTGAAAACACTTTTAAACAACATGCTTCACTGTAGTCTTCTTTCCTTAAGCCATTCCTCATGCCTTTTAAACAGGGTCTCACTATTTAGTTCTGCCTGGCTTGGAACTTGACCTGTAGACCAGGCTGGCTTCAACTCACAGAGATCACCTGCTTCTGCCTCCTGAGTGCTGGGATTAAAGGACTGTGCCACCGTACCCAGTTGAACATTTTATGTGAACTTCTGTGTGTAAGGAGTATGGTTTTTCTGCCCGCCGCTGGTCTTGTCCTGCCGCCGTGCCAGCCCCAAATAACACACCGAGACTCTGTATCAGATATAATGCTGTTAGCCAGGTACTAGTTTCTTATCGGCTAACTCTGTCTTAATTATTAACCCATTTCTATGTATTTCCATGTGGTCTTACCAGCGAGAGGTGGCTGGCGGTTCTGCCTTCTCCAGATTCTCCATCTTAACTCCTTCCTACTTCTTCTTTCCTCCTTCTCTCCTAGTCCCTCCTATCTTCCTTTCCTATTGGCCAACAGTGCTTTATTCATTAACCAGTATGAGAAACATATATACATAATGGCATCTCCCATCATCTCCTCTTTTCTGTCTAAATAAAAAAGAAGGGTTTTAACCTTAACATAGCAAAATATATCACATAACAGTTATTAAATAAGAATCACAGTTAACAATATTTAGTCCATTAACATTTAGCAAGATTTAAGAAAATATCCCATCATCTATTCTATCTTTGTGAGTCTAAAGACTTATATGTAACTTATCTTTAAGCCTAACTAAGAAAAACTATAACCATAACTATCTGTCTTCAACTCCTTCAAAGACCACAGAAGGATAATATATAAACTCTAGAAATGACCGAGACATCTTGCCTTGTCAGTCATCTGAAGTTCTTCTGTAATCTTCCATTTTCAGCCCATAGGCCATAGTGTGTCTGGCAGACTCTTCAGCAAAGCAGGAAACTTTAAACTGTCTTCTTGTTTTGGCAGTTTGTCAGTTACTTTTCTCTGTGTCCTGCAGACTGTCTGGCAGACTCTTCCATGAAGCAGGAACTCTGTAGCAATGTCCATCTGAATTTGCAGTCACTTTCTGTGTGTCCTGCATGTCTAGTTTATACAGCATAAAGTCAAACAGTCCAGACAAGAGCAGTATCTTGTCCAAATGGCTAGTCTTGCCATATTGGGAGCAAACTTCGTAACTCCTTTCTTCAAGGTCCATTTTCCTTTCTGATGCAGGTGGTGTTGCCAGGAGCATTTATGTTGCACTGTCAAGAAAAACCCTAAACCATTTTAAATGCCATATTCTGTAGGTCTTTGAAAGGTTTGAAGAATTCCTATCTATCGCAAATACATCTTTGTGTATCTTGAAAAACATAACTAACTTAACTGTAAGCTTTGACTATCATAGGTAACTATCTGTAATTTGTATTAAATTATACATTACATTTCTAAATGAGCTATAGAAACACAATACCTAAACAAGAGGAGAAATAGACACATCACAAAATTTTCCTTAAATTTTATCAATAAATGAAAATCCATTCCAAAACAAAGTATTCATATCTATACCATAATCCCCTTTTTACCTTTAAAAAGAATTGGCTGTGATCATTAACCACTTATAACCAACCCCATTTAAATGAAAACAAACATTTATAAACAATATTTGGGAATTTGGGCATCGTTCTTTCCAAACTACTTCCTGCTGATAGGGGGCGCTGTTATGGGGAACCCTAAGAAGACACAGAAATCCTGGCTGTAGTCTGCAAGGCTGCTTTGTCCGGCTGTTTTGAATGTAGGATCACCTGGTACTCTATTTCAGGGGGGTCTGGCTTGATCAAACTACATTAGTCTGGAAGGAATCCATAGCTTTTCATTTTCTGTGGAAACAAAAATAGAAATCCTTTTCCCCAATAACTTGTCCTTAGACTTAAAATTTGAAGTCAAAGCATTTTTAAAATATATAAATTGAATTAATCCAGCATTATTTCCTTTAACAGTTGTTTCTTCAGCAGTCAAACGATAAAAAGACAATATAATGCCATACAGTATACATTCTCTCTGAGCTTTTCATTTTTACATGGCATTATTATTACTCTCTTTCTTCTTCTATTTTTTTTTTTTTTTTTTTTGAGACAGGGTTTCACTGTGTAACTCTTATCTCTCCTTGAATTAACTCTGTATACCAGGTTTACTTTGCAAAGACAGAGATCTGCATGCCTCTGTCTCCTGAGTGCTGGGATTAAAGGTATGTGTCACCACACCTAGCTCCTCCCTGTATTTTTAAAACCATTTTATTTCTTTTCTCTCCCAAGCCTACGTATATTTTAAAACATACTGTAAACCTTTAGAGGTTTTTCTTAATATGAATCTGTCTTTAATGTAAATCTTTATCTTTTATCAGATAAACAACAACATTGCTAAAATGAAAGTCATGGTTGTTTCTGCCGCAGTTTACCAAAGATGGCAGCAGGTACTTTTACCGCCAGCAGTAAAAGCTGTCCTCACTACCTTGGTCTGCGCTGCCATCCAGCAAGCATGCTGCCGGCTTGGAGATGTGCTCCCTGCCATTGCCAGCTCTCATACACACCAATGAATTGTTAGCAGAGTTATTTAAAAGCCGTGCGGGGTTTTTTTTTTTTTTTTTTTGCCGCTGATGCTAAGTCAGGAATCATCCCTTAAAGGAGCCGCGTAAATATCTGGTTGTCTCTTGCAAATCAGAGTCTAACCGAAAAAATGCTGTTAGTAAGAAGCCTTGCTTGTTTCTGTTCTGTTGTTTCTAAAACCCCTTTTTAAAGCTTTTGTTAAATTTTAACAAATTCTTATTAGTTCTTATTAGTCACGTGGGCGCCATATGTAAGGAGTAAGGTTTTTCCGCCCGCCGCCAGGTCTCGTATTTGTTTGCACAGGCTAGACATGCACTCTGCCTCTGAATTATACCTCAACCTAGAACTTTTGCACTTAATTTGTAGTCTATGTTCTCTGATGTGTCTCATTTATATCCAGCAGTGGTATGTCACACTTTCTAAGTTTCTTTTTTTTCTTTTTTTTTCAGGGTCACAGGACACAAGGGTATGACATAGGCGCCATAGTTAAAATCCTTGCCCTGTTGCTGCAGGGACATTTGCTAGTCTGGTCTCCAACAACTTGGCTCACTGTGTAGACCTCAGGTTCTCAGAGTACACATAGGAGCCAGGTTTTCAGGGTTTAGGCTTCAGCTCTGCCCCTCACTGGTGTGAGAGGATGCACAAGTTAGTAAGCCAGTCAGCAGTTTAGGTTAGAGGCCTCCTTCTTAGGCCTGATGAGAGCATTATAGTGTCTATGGTAGAACCTAGCATGTTGTAAGTGTGTGATAAAATTATGAGTGCAAGGATGAAAGAGAACTTAGGTATTCTACTGAAGTATCTGTCAACTTGTAAGTGTCTGTTACTGCAACACTGTGAGCTTCTGCCGGGTGGCCCTCCCACTCTTGCCTTGCTCTTGGGTACCATGCCGAGCTGAAAGCCCAATGTGTCGGTAACAGGTGAATTCCCTTCTTGCTCCCTAATTCAAGATGGATCTCTCATGGATCATAGGGCATTTGTTCTAGAGTTCCACCGCACACTTTGAAGTGCAGTTTTAATCCCATGTCTTGATGTTCATCACCCTTCCAATAGCTTTGCAGCAGCTGCCAGCTCAGCAACACTTCTCAGTTGAGTGCACACAGGCCTTCATGCCTTCATGCCATGGATCCAACCAGTGCTTCAGGCTTTCCTCCTCCTCTTTGTGTTCCCAGGGCCCTGCCAGGCCTGGTTGCTGATGGCTGCCTGAACACCCTATGCTGTGCTGGTGCTGTCCCTTTGCTCATTTATTTATTAATTTTTCCCCCTCTGATGGGAGATGTCATTCTGTATATGTTTCTCATACTGGTTAATAATAAAGCACTGTTGGCCAATAGAAAAGGAAGATAGGAGGGACTAGGAGACAAGGAGGAAATAGGAAGTAGGAAGGAGGAGTCAAGATGGAGAGTCTGAAGAAAGCAGTATGCCACTGGCTCCCTGGTAAGAGAAATACATAGATCAGCAGAAATGGGTTAATAATTAAAGGCAGAGCTAGCCGATAAGAAACAAGTAACCGGGCCAACAGTATTGTATCAAATACAGAGTCTCTGTGTATTATTTGGGGCTGGCGCGGCGGCAGGACAAGACCAGCGGTGGCGGGCGGAAAAACCATACTCCTTACACCCCTCTATTGTTAGCCTTATCATCACCTGTCAACACCTTCTCCATGTTTTAGGAGCAGCTCTTATCAGTCACTTTTAAAATCCTGTTCTCTTGATAATGGTGGCACTGACATTAACTCCACTGGAGCCAGCAGGGCACTGGGGCAGAAGGTCCAGATAAAGACCGCAGACCAGATACTAATGACACTTGAAGAGTCCCAAAGATTTTGCAAGGGTGCACTTCCAAGAACTTGATATGCAGTGATTGCTGTAGTGTTGCTGGTGAGAAAACATAATGGAGAGTGTTTTCCAAAAACTCGGTTCTTTCAGAGCCAAAAGCCAAACCTTGGTCTGCAGCCATTGGCTAAATGACTGCCATTGCCTATTCCGGGCCTGGAGGAAAGCCCTAGAAGCCACTGGGACGCTGATGGGATAGAATATTGTACATGGATTTAGGAGCAAGAGTCCAGTGTCTTGGGGAGAAATTGCGGAGGAGGAAGTAACTGCCTGTCACTCATGTCCCTGAGGTACATTGGAGAGGCTCCTCTCAGTCCTGGGATTTTTGTCCTCCTGTCTTGCAGATCACAGGGATGACCTGTGCTTCCTGTGTTCACAACATCGAGTCCAAGCTCACAAAAACAAATGGCATCACCTATGCCTCTGTGGCCCTCGCCACCAGCAAAGCGCACTTGAAGTTTGATCCTGAAATCATTGGCCCACGGGATATCATCAAGATTATTGAGGTAGTTAATTCCTGAAAACTTTGTATCAACTTTTAAAAAGGAACAATACATAATAGTTGAAGAAAGTCAAGCTGAATTAAAAAGTCATCAAAAAGCTATTGACTTTTCCAAAGAGTAGTAAGGTCGCTTAATTAATTGAAGAAGGTTAGCAGGTTTCCCAAGCAGTGTCGGTAATAGGTAAGAAAAAGATGAGGCAGGACTGGCTGGGGGCTCAGCAGGGGAAAGTGCTTGCTGTACAAGCCTGACAATGCATGGTCTACAAAAACTGACTCCCCAAAGCTGTCATCCCAGACTCCCAGACTTCCATGTATGTATATACAGTCACTTATACAATGTTTTTTTTTGTTTGTTTTTTTTTTTTTTAAAGAAAGGGGTGAAATGGAAGAGATGATAATTTTAGTTTTAAATATTTCCTGAGAATCATCAGTCTTGACAAGATACCTGGTGTGAAGCATTAATCTGCACAATCACCATTTACAAATATTATTTCTGTCTGTGCCAGATGTGTGCACTAGACAGGTAATTCCACACTCACCTCCCTGCTAGGCTTGTAGGGGAATTCTGTTATCTTTGCATTAGGAAAAAGAGGGGCCATGACTATCCCCTCCTCCTGCTCTTTCTGTCTGTCCACAGACCTCTCCCCCCATTTCCTTCTTCATGTTGGTATCATACCAGACCTTGAGAGATTAACCTTCCATGGTGGTGGGAATGGGTTAAGACAGCCCAAACCAAGTAAGATTAATCTGTAGCAACCATGGGTGAGGTTTAATTACTTAGTGAACCCGACTGCTTATGAATTGAAACTTTACACCAGGCTTAATGCCATGTTGTCCTTAATGTGTTCTCCTCAGGCATGTGTGCGTAGATGTTTGTTGTGTGGCCCGGCGGAGCTTTTGGATGTGGATACATTGCTGCTGTTTTATACAAGCAGGCTGACTAACTTCACGGCTGGATCACTAAATGGCAGTAGAGCCTCAGAGGAGTTAAGGTCTTGCTCATAAATACCCAGCTCACAAGAGGCAAGATGGCACTCCCAGCTCAGGTCTCATTCTACTGAACCCTAAATCTGAGAAGGGTGGCCCATATCACTCGTAGGGCTAAGGACTCACCATGATGCTATAAACAAGAAGGGGAGTTTTCAGTGGAGTCTTCAAATGAGGCTCACTTCCACTATTGACTTCTAATCAGTCAATCCCTTAGCTGCCTCCATCCTGCTCAGTGATTTGGCACAGCTTCCTGGACCTCAGTCCTTAATGGAGAAATATCGGAGTATTTCCTGGCTTCTAGGCTTGTGCCTCCGGGGCAGCTTTCCCTGATATACAAATTATGGGAGAATTTGTCTTGTATTGGCTCACTTGCCCTTCTCCCGTGACATTTCCTTTTGGAGGAGCTCAGCACCAGCACTCTGGGCCCTCTCTGTTACACTGACTAACTAGACATCTCCTGCCTGGCAGCTTTCCCTGTGTGTATTCACAAGGAGAAGCAGAGATGTAATGATGAGATGAAGGTGGTGGCAGCAGGGCATGAGAAAGTACAGGGTTGAGGCACACTCTGTCAGGACATGGAGAAAGCCACTCGTCAAGTGGAGAGGCCCTGAACACAGTGGGGAGTTGCTTGGCCTGAAACCTGGAGACCTACACTCTACACCCAGTACTTTAGCATACTTGTTCTCTCCGGTCCTCACCTTCTCATGCATGGGTGAAGTACCAGCCCACACGGCATCTGGAACTCTATCTCAAGTTTTATCTTTGAAGTCAACCCTGGTTGGCTTTGGGACCTGTGAAGTTAGTGTGACAATACCATCTGCCTTTACTTAGACTAGGGAGAGGAATGGCCTTTCAAGTGCCATGTTCACAGGGTGGTACAGTCTCTCAGCATACAGAGTGCTGAACCTCTGAACAGGGTTTGACAGCCATTTGGGACTAAGAGGAAATGAGTCATGAGAGAAAACCTTTGGTCACCAGAGGGACTTGGAGATTTTAATTTCCAATGCTGGAAATGCTTTCCACGTGTTTGTATTTTAACAGTACTTTTCCCCTTGTTCTTCACTTGACTCTTTTAATCACAAGGAAATCGGGTTCCATGCTTCCCTGGCCCAGAGAAATCTCAGCGCTCATCACTTGGACCACAAGATGGAAATAAAACAGTAGGTAGAAGACAGAGGGTTAATGGTAGCACTGCCTAAGTCTCCATCTTCCCCTGCCCACTGACTCTGCCTCATGGAGATGTCATCATGCTTGGCTATGCTTCAGCCACCCCAGGCTCCTGTGTAGGCTTCCACCTGTGCTCATTGCCTTTTTATTCTTGGGATGCCATCAGCTGGGACTATGCCATTTGTAGAAGTTTCTGGATGTTGGCAGCAGCTGTGCCTGTACTGCTCAGCTTGGTAGTGCACTTTAAATGCACTAGAATGAGTATAGAACTGAGGTTTTTACATTTATTTATTTGGTTTCATTAATTTAAATAAAATAGTCACTTGTCGCTGACATGCTGTATGCGGCTCAGCTGGGATAGAGGGAGGGGAAGGTTGGCTTTTTCTTTTACATTCTATTTACACTTGCTTTGCATGAGTTCTAGAACTAAGTGGAAAAGAAACAGCCAGTTCAGGGAAAGATGCTTAGCTCAGAGAGAGAATGTATGATTAGCATGCACAAGGCCCCAGAATCTCTAATACAAAATGGGGGTGGGGGTGGGGGTGGGATGGCCTAGGATATAAATATAGGTTAATTCGTAGTTCCAGATGGTCACATAGTCTTCTAACACACTTGAAGGCTACTGTTGTATATAGCGCAGTGCCATAGAGTGGCTTCTTGTCTTGTTGGGAACGAGTGAGTGAACTATGACATCAGTGGCTTAGGCAGATTCTGGAAGGTCCAGGAAGCAGGAGACCCAGGATCTGGGACTCAGAGAAGTGTGTTAAGCTAAAGGAATCAGCAGGGAGTGAGGATCCTCCTGGGCCTTTTGGAGTGCCTGCAGCTTGGTCCAGTTGGCTTGCCTAAGGTGCAGGGGACTGTCAGGTGAGTGTTTGGGAGGCTAGTGGGTCTGCCTCTTGGATAGCCTTAGACAGCAGCCTGAGCATGCACGGTCTGCACTAGGGTACAGAACTTAAAAGTACCTCCAGTGAATTCCTGTTTGGAATATCACGCATGTGGTAGCTCACATGAAGCCACCCTTGGTCCTAAGCTTTTGTGTTTATTGACAGCTACACTAATCATATACTCTTATTTTAAATAGTTGTTTAAAAATTGTGTAAATAAGCTTATACTAATGAAACTGTTCCCATCCATTTCTTGCTTTGAGGGGAATCTGTGTAAGACAACAGGGAGAACTCTAGGCTGCTGTAGGCTAGGAGTGGTAGCCTTTGGAGCCAGTTCTCATCTTCCTCCACTGCTGCTCCTATAAATTGGTGGTCAAGTACTATCTTATAAAAAGGCAGAGCTAAGCCCAAACATCTTTATAGCGGTGCCTATCCCTTTAGATTGATAACCGTATCAGGGGTGAGCCTCACTTTTGTTTCAGTCCATCTTAAATCCACCCTGATCCCAGTGCCAAGTGGTTCTGATGTGTCTATGTTGCTGATTTTGCCTTCTAGGTGGAAAAAGTCTTTCCTGTGTAGCCTGGTGTTTGGCATCCCTGTCATGGGCTTGATGATCTACATGTTAATCCCCAGCAATAAGCCCCATGAGCCGATGGTGCTCGACCATAACATCATTCCAGGACTGTCCGTTCTAAATCTCATCTTCTTCATTCTGTGTACCTTTGTGCAAGTATGTGTTGGAAAGCTGGGCAAACCTCTGCCCTTTGTGCCCAGGCAATACTAGAGGATCTCTGCTCTTCAAGTGTGTCAACAGCCCTTTAGCTTGGTCCCAGTTGTACTTCATTGCAATTTTGCTGCCTTACCTCTGGGTAGCTGCTACTGTTATTTCTGTCTTATGACCGGGAGGGAGGGCAGTGTAGAGGGGGCTGCAAACGTGGAAACCAAGAAAGATCTGGTCTCACTGTCAACTTCACACATAATTGCAAGTGATTGAAACTTATCAGAACAACTACCCTCTCCTTGTAAACTTAGTGAGCTTGTCTGTTCTTGGTGTGTGTGTGTGTGTGTATTACTGGTGACAAGACTCAGAACCTCATACATGCCAGGCAAGTATGCCATTGCTCAGTCACATCTCGTCCCCATCTCCCTGATTTGCTTATTATTTAATTTAGTTTACCTTTGTTGTTAGTATTATTAGATGAATTTCCCTGGGACTCATGCTTCCCTTGAATGGTTTATCCTGAAAGGCAAAGCCATGGTCTTCACCTTTGGGTAAAATTATCATTTAACTTGGGCAGGCTTTGCAGAATGTCTGCTGTGCATGCAGGCATATTGATGCAAAGAGAATGCCTGCACGTGTACATTTTGGCATATAAAACTGGAACTATTTAGGGGTAACCAATTGTAGGCTAAATTACTTTCCTGTATTTTCTTTTAATGGCAAACCAGCTTTGTAAGTAATTTCAGCAATATGAAAGCAAAGGGAACCGTATTCTGACAAAATACACCCTCCTCTGGCCCAGTCCTGTTCTCTAGTATTGCTGCTGTATCTTCAGAAGTTAGACATATATCTCTCCTATCTCATAAATAGAGCAAGTGTGTGTGTGTGTGTGTGTGTGTGTTTATGTGTATGGATGCATGTTCCTCTACATAGGCACAGATGTTTGTTAATGGAAGTGGGGATTGTGTTAGACATAATAATGCTGGCTCTTTTATTTCAATCATAGATATATGCCATTGGTTTACCTTCTCTCTAGAGACCATTTACAGTAGAAATGAGCCAGCATCATCATTGTTACCATTCTTTTATTGTGGACATTTGCATGGCTGCCTGCATTTTAAAGGTCTCATATTCTTGCTTATCTACTTCTGTGGCCAGCACTACTCTGATCAGAAAGTATGCTTCCCTGGAGGCTGAGGCAGAGTGTGTCATCAGTATCAAATAATTGCCAAGAACAGGGTGATGTCAGATACGCACATGAACCTAGAATCATCATCCTGAGGGCTCCTGGACCTCCTCCTCCTAGTCTAACCCTTGCCCTCCCTGTCTTTCAGTTCCTGGGTGGGTGGTACTTCTATGTTCAAGCCTACAAGTCTTTGAGACACAAGTCAGCCAACATGGATGTGCTCATCGTACTGGCCACAACCATTGCCTATGCCTACTCCCTCGTCATCCTGGTGGTTGCAGTGGCTGAGAAGGCTGAGAAGAGCCCCGTGACATTCTTCGATACACCCCCCATGCTCTTCGTGTTCATCGCCCTTGGGCGGTGGCTGGAGCACGTGGCAAAGGTAGCCACAGCTAGCTACAGGTTAAGCAAAGAACCATTCCTTTGGGTAATCTGAGTCTAGGCCCATTGGCAGCATATGTTGAGAACCACTAATTACATACCGCTATAGAGAATGACGGGAATCTGAACCCACATGTAATTAGGGGCTGCAGTCACTAATCTCCTAGTTGGTTGTTCCTTCTGAAATCCCAGCTAATCTGGCTAATTAGTAAAACCTTTGTTTGAGTAATTGTGCAGAGGAACAGACTCTGAACTTTATGCCAGAGCTCACATGGTCTCTTAGTGCCTAATGGATTGTAGTTAGTGTAGAATCTCACATCTCCACTTCAGGCTTGGGTGATGAGTAACACTCTGCACTGAGCCCAGCATTGGCATGGAGCCTGTAAAAGAGGGAGTAAGGAAATGATATTGAGGGTGAAAGGCAATGTCCATTGGGCGGATTGGAATTGTTCTTGTCTGAAATGGAATTTCAAGATCTGCTTAGGCAGCGCTGGCCCCGGGCTTTCCTTGTGGTGCTGACATGCATGGCTGCCTTAGCGGTTGGTGGTGTGACCATGTGTTTTGCTCCAGCCACCTTTGACCCCATGCTTGTGCGTGTCAGCCTGGATTTGGACAGTCAGCTCTCATTTTTATATTCTGGTTCTTTCCTAGAGCAAAACTTCGGAAGCCCTTGCAAAACTCATGTCACTCCAAGCCACAGAAGCCACAGTTGTGACCCTTGGTATGGACAACTTAATCCTCAGGTGGGTTGTGCCCTTCAGTAGATCTTGAGATCCTTTGACATCATCTACATAGTTCACAACAAGTGTCCATCCTGTAGCTAATGATGTTGTTCAGGCCACCATAGTCATTACCCTGAGGCACCACCCTATGTCTGCATTGGCTTCTAGTGCTTCTCCACATTCAGACTGGTGACCTTTCTAAAGGTCTATAATGTAGCAGTCTGTCTGTCCCGCTGTGTAGTGGAATCCTTCAGCAACTCTCTGCTTTCTTAGGGTAAAGTCTCCAGCCCTTAGCATGACAGTGGAACTCTGGTGTCAGCTGGGCAATCCCCTCTCAAGCTCAGCCCCTTTCTATTACTCAATGTGCAGCAAGTATAACCACCCCCTGGCATCCATGAAACTTGGTTCTAGGATCCTCAGATACCAAGTCATCCCATGCTCAAGCCCCTCTTCTGAAGTGGAAGTGTATTAGCATAGAATTTCATATTCCCCATATACTTTAAATCGTATTTAGAATAATTAAGATACATTTATAATGCAATTATATGTAAATAGGGTTTATACTGTGTTGTTTAGAGAACACTAATTCAAAAATATGTGTATGTCCAGTACAGACAGATTTATCACCCCCCCCCCCCCGTGTGTGTGTGTGTGTGTGTGTGTGTGTGTGTGTGTGTGTGTGTGAGAGAGAGAGAGAGAGAGAGAGAGAGAGTTTTACTGGGGATGGGACCTAGGGCCTCTTACATGCTAAGCAAGTGCTGAACCACAAAGCTATATCCCATCCCTTTACTGAATATTTTTGATGCAAGATTGGTTTTGTCTGATAATTTAGACCTCTCACATACATAGGACTAGCTGTAAAAGGTCCAGTAATCAGCCTAGGAACTGGTCTGATTATAGGCCAGGAGGATGTTACCTGGGTGTCTTCTGTTGCAGAGAGGAGCAAGTGCCCATGGAGCTGGTGCAACGAGGTGATATCATCAAGGTTGTCCCTGGGGGCAAGTTCCCAGTGGACGGGAAAGTCTTGGAAGGCAATACCATGGCAGATGAGTCCCTCATCACAGGTTAGGTGGCTTGTTTTATGTTCCCTTCAGTGAGTGTCACGTGTCATGGTAGTCACTGGCCCATGTGATGTTGAGTGGGCTAAGTGACTGGTTGATGTCTGTCTTTTCTCCTCTAGGAGAGGCCATGCCTGTCACTAAGAAACCTGGGAGCATAGTGATTGCTGGTTCTATAAATGCTCATGGCTCTGTGCTCATTAAAGCTACCCATGTGGGCAATGATACCACTTTGGCTCAGATTGTGAAATTGGTGGAAGAGGCCCAGATGTCAAAGGTAATGATGAGACTTAAAACATTCAAGGAAATCCTTCCTTTGAGAAATGATCTCAGTGGGATTTAGCTCAGTGGGTAGACCACCAGCCTAGCATAGCAGAGGCCCTGGATCCAGTCTCCAGCACTAACTGAAATGGAGTGGTGGGGCCACACAGACTTTATATCCCTAACTCGTCCAGAGGTGGAAGATGGAAGCTTATCCTTGGCTTCGGCCAGTTTCAGACTACCTGGGCTACATTACACCCTGCCTCGAGACGAAAGAAATGTGAGGGATGATTGCAAAGCTTCATAGCACCGATTATCGAGTAGAAATTGATTCCTAAACATAGTAACGGAGGGAGCTTGGACCCAAACCTTACTCCTCCTGTCTGTCTTTGTAGGTTGTAACTTCCTGTGGTCTTGATGCTTTATTTTCATAGGCACCCATTCAGCAGCTGGCTGACCGGTTTAGTGGATATTTTGTTCCATTTATCATCATCATTTCAACATTAACATTGGTGGTATGGATTGTCATCGGTTTTGTTGATTTTGGTGTTGTTCAGAAATACTTCCCTGTAAGTTGGATGCCTTGGACAGTGTGGTTGTCATGCTTTATGTAACTTCTTGCCTCTAATCCTAGTCTTTGTATCTTGGATTCACTGAGCTTCATTGGCCATTATATTTTATTTACTTCTTTCACTTTGTGGAAGCAAAATGTAAGTCATAGTAGGGTAATGAGTCTACTTGTAAAGGTCCTTATTGAAGATGCTCTCTGAAGGTCAGGAATATGGCTCAGCAGCAGAGAACTCACCTAGCATGTGCAAGGCCCTGGGTTCCGTCATTGGCATTGATACCCACATGCACAAATGCCCTTTGTTTTCTACTCCGAGATAATTCTCATGACATCATTTGGCTCCCAGTTGGGATGCTTCAAGGATTTATAATACGCAATTTGTTGGCTGTTACTGAGTTTATAAGACATACATTGTAGAAAATAGAGCACAATTTTGATGGTACAATACTATGCTAGATCTTAGGGGGAAAGGTAACTTTTGATACATATATCCACTAATACCCATTTCAATATCCTGCCTTCCCAAGCAATAATGTTTCTCAGTGTTACTGAAAGCTGTATGCCATGATAGACAAAGCATTTTGATAATTAAACGTTTATTTAGCAGCAGAATAAGGGGATGCACATTTTCTAATTTTAAGAAGTAGGTGAAGAACCCTATTGTAGGAAATACTGTCTTGATCTTCAAAAACCAATGGAAAGTACAGTGTATCCTCAAAAAAATGTATGTGCTTAAGAAACAAGAACTAATTCTCAAGGACTTAGCAGTGTGTAAAGACACTGTGGCTTTTATGAATGGAGTGCTACATTCATCTACATGGAGCCCCACGATTAAGAGTCCAGTAGTTCCAGGACTGAACAGCTAATGACCCACCAATGCAACCAACTGCCTAATGAGTGGAGCATCACCTCATCTTATCTCATGCCAGGGCTTGTTTTAACTTAGAGTCATGGAGTAAAGAACTAAAGATGGGTCTTGAAGATAAAGGTGCATCAGACATGGTTCATGCCATCTAAGATGCCATTTTCTCCCTCAGTGTTTGCATTTTAAGTTAAAAGAGTCTCAGTTGAGTGCTTTGTAGCATCTAAGAAGCCCCTTGGTGCTCCAAAGAGTGCTCAGCCTGACTGTGAAGTGTTCTGCTTTTTGGGAAGCTGGGAGTATGTGGTTTCTCTGCTGTTCCATGCTTTGCCCTCTTACTACATGTTTCATTTAGATACTGTCATTGCCGAGGCAAGAGTATCATTTGTAGCAAGGGTTCATGTTAGTTTCTAGAAGTTTATCAGTGCCACTAAAATGCCAAGTGTCATTTTAATAAGAATGACTGTAAAAAAAAAAATCACATTATCTTTATCTCTTAAAAATCAAATATTTGTTAAATAATATGCCCTTTTACATGAATATAATGGTTTCTATGAAAATTAAATGACTCTTACAATATACCTTATTTTATACTTGTGTCTTTTAAAATGAAAGAATAAAGGATGAAAAGAAGTAATTAGTGAATGTAGTGGCTCTTAGAATAATGTTCCACAGACATAGCCATTATAAAAATGCAGCAAGGTGAATGAAGATCCCAGACAGCAAGTAACAGTCTCACTGTGTACCACCACACTGTAGAGTAGACCTCTGTTTTTTTTTTTTTTTTTTTTTTTTTTTTGGGTAATGAAATATACACAGAAAAATAAAAACTGTTACTAGAAGTGCCCCCAGTGCTACCCTTTGCTGCATGCTGTGGTTAATACATTAGGCAGAGAATTTGACAGCATGAATAAAACCATGGCATGTTTCCTTATGCTGCCTTTTAAATTTCTCCTTGTCACTGGTGCCTTTCCGCATTAGTACATGTAGCTTGTGCATCATCTTCCTGACAATTGCCTAATACTCCATCATGCCTACAACTTAGCTGGCCAATTCCCTTTTGATTGTTCCCAGGTTTTGCTATTATATTATATTACATGTAATTATATTATATATTATAACTATCCTTGTGTCATCTAAATGTAGATTCTTTGAAGAGTTACTGAAGCTTTCATAGCAATGAAGCAAAAAAAAAAAAGATGTAATTTCTAACGTGCCTTGCCAGTGCTGTTCTGTGCAGACATCTGTTTATGTGCATATTGCCTCATTTATAAGCACAAAGCACTTTGTGAGCTACTTCAATCACTTTATACCTGGGGAAACTGAGGCAGAGAGGGGTGAAGTTAGCAGCAGGGCTGGGGTATGACCTACCTGGCCTAACTCCTGAGTTTGTTCTCCGTCAGGGTCTACCTACATGACTCTGCTCCTGTCCGCCTTGCCTCCTTGAAGGAAGCTGTAGGAAGAAGTTGGAAAGGAGGAAATGCGGCAGGGAAGTCAACTCTGATACTGAAACTGCACAGAATATAGTCATATTCCCTAAACTCTGCTCACTGCGTTCTCACTTCACACTGCCCCATCTGATGTTTCTCTCCTCTGCAGAACCCTAGCAAGCATGTCTCCCAGACAGAGGTGATCATCCGTTTTGCCTTCCAGACGTCCATCACTGTGCTGTGCATTGCCTGCCCCTGCTCCCTGGGGCTGGCCACGCCCACAGCAGTTATGGTGGGCACTGGGGTGGCTGCCCAGAATGGTGTCCTAATCAAAGGTGGCAAGCCTCTGGAGATGGCACACAAGGTGAGCCCCTGTCAGGTTCTGATTGTTCTCTGTGGGAACTTGGATAACACTTTCTACAGAGTTCTTATAGAAATAGCATCTCTTACTGTTTCTTAAGAGGAAAGCCTGAGGATAAGTGTTGATGGCTGGAGTGGGAAGCCACGACTGCTTGGGAGTAACAGCAAAACCAGCAGTGGTTAATGGTTGCACAATTCGCTGCTTCATGGATAAGTCATTGACCCCGTCTCACATGCTGGATGTGATTCGTAAGGGCTTGACTACAGCAGGAGGAGACTGGGTAACTTCAGGAGCCTGCAGCTGTTAGCTAAGTTGCCAACTCACATGTTGGGATTAGCTGAATTCCGTGACTCTTCAAGACCCTCTGTCCTGTCTTGGTCGGCGTGGTGATGCGTACCTATAGTCTCAGTTCTCAGGAGGCTGAGGCAGAAGGTTCAGGAGTTCAGGTTTTACCCTAGCTGCTTAGTGAGACTGTATCCAAAAGTAGGAAGGACAGGTATCCCCAATCCTGAGTGTTAGAACACTGTGCTGGGGCCTGGCCTATCCCAGAGTTCCTAGGTAGTGCTGTTGGTCTGGGAAGCTGAGGAAGAGCTAGTCAGATATAGTGGTAGTGGGGGTGTTGCAGGGGTGAAATAATAGGTAGGTGAAGAGGACCCCAGGGGACCAGGTGGCTGTGTGGCTCACAAGCTTCACAAAATCTGCTTCAGTTTTCTTTGCTGTTCTGACCCTAGAGTGCATCCTGAGATACCTGGAGACATCTTGTTGAACGAACTAATGAACAGTTAGAAAATCTGAGACAGAGAAAGTGTTGAGGGTGGGCCTGATCATGAAAGCCTTGAAGGATCACATGGTAGAATAGGCTGCTCCTTTGGGCCACTGGGTTGCATTCTGGGAAAGGCGGACTGTTAAATTGACCTTCTCCCTCCCAGAGAGGTGGGGATCTTTGGCGGGAGGACAGTTTAGCAGTGTTGAAGGCAGAGGCCACCACTGAGCTTGGGAATCCAAGCAGTGTATCTGCTGCTCTTGGATCATGGTCTGAACAGAGCGACCTGCTGCCCTCTGTTTGGTCAAAGGTAAGGTAGAGCAGAGCTGTATAGACTGGCAGATGGGTGATGGTTTCTTGGTAGTAGCAGTTGTTGCCTGCAGAGTTGGGAAGGTAACAGTAGTTCCCTGCCCAAGGCAGGTTGGGAGAAGCTCTGCCTTAAGATCCGGGGACTGTGAAAGCTGCCTCCAAGTTAAGTCCTGACATGAAATTGTTCTTGCAGATAAAGACTGTTATGTTTGACAAAACTGGCACCATTACCCATGGGGTCCCGAGAGTCATGCGGTTCCTGTTGCTTGTGGACATGGCTACATTGTCCCTCAGGAAGGTTCTGGCTGTGGTGGGCACTGCAGAGGCCAGCAGTGAGCACCCCTTAGGTGTGGCAGTCACTAAATACTGCAAAGAGGTACGCAGACCTTGGCCCTGGCATTCCCTTGCCTTCTCTCATCAGCCTTTGCCTCCCCACCTTGCTACCTACTTGCGTGCTCAGCTGCCTCAGAGGTGGTCTTCACTTGTTGCAGACAGGGCTTTGTAGTAGCCCTGTCATGGCTACTTGTGGAGCAAGTGGATGACACCGCACTCAGGACAGAGTGACTGAGACGTGACCCCTCTGCCTTCTGAGAAACCAAGTCTGAGGCAGGGGTGACAGGTCCTTCAATAACTTCTTTATACAGCAAAGGTGTGGGGACACAAGCACTCAGTGGGATTGCCTGGGAGGAGCTAGCACAGGTGAGCTGAAAGGCCTGAAAGGGGGGGGGCGGGGCACAGTTATGGAAGCATCTCTTTCTGCTCTAAGGAGTGCATCAGGGGACTGTGCCGTCACTGTCCATGTGGCTTGAACATAATTCTATCATTGATGTGTGGGGTGATGTGGGTACCTCAGGAAAACATTGACAAGGAGGATTTTTGAGAAATTTCATTCTGTGTTTGTCCCTCAGAGGGGGTCAGCACACTGTTGTTTGTCATCTACTCTAATGGGTCAGGAGGGGGACCTCTGCTTGCTGGCAGTTCTAAGGACTTCTACCACTTCCCATCCCTTCCCTGGGTATCACACATGGGGAGTGATCTGCCTGGCAGCTTCCAGTAGCTCTGTCACTAGCCATTGTTGTAGTGTAATCACTGTCAGCATGGAAACATCTGTGTGGTCTTTTCCTTGGATCAGCAGCCTGCCTGGTTGTGAGATACTCACCCAGGGAGGATGTAGCCATTTAACCTGGTTCAGACTGAGAACCAACGCTGAGTCTGCTGAGCTCCCAGTGCATTTCCTCGTCTCTTTCCTTCCTTCCTTCCTTCCTTCCTCCCTCCCTCCCTCCCTTCCTTCCCTCTTTCTTCTCACAGGCCTCACCCCAATCTCCCCTGCTCTCCTGCTTCTTCCACAGGAACTTGGAACAGAGACCCTTGGATACTGCACAGACTTCCAGGCAGTGCCAGGCTGTGGGATTAGCTGTAAAGTTAGCAATGTGGAAAGCATCCTGACTCACAGTGATACGACTGGTCATCTGAATGGGGTTGGCAACTCTCCCACAGGAAAAGGTATTCCTCACTTTTGTCCCTCTTGGATCTGTTGGTAGCTGAACCCATCTTGGGTAAAAGCAGAGGCAAGCCAAACCATTCCCAGACTTGTGGTTTCCCTTCCTGTAGAGATGGGAGGCTCATCGCTGGGTACTCCATGCCTTACCTACTCCATGAATGCCTGCTTTTTGCTTTGCTTTTTTTTTTTTTTTTTTTTTTTTGCAATGGTTTCTTTGCTATGTTAGTTTCCAACTTGTGCGCTCAAGTGACCCTCCCACATCAGCCTTCCAAGTATCTGGGACTATAGGTGTGCACTACTAACCCTAGCTGGATGCCTCCAGATTCTGATGTTTATGGAAGGCCAAAGTAGCATAGGACTTAGGTTCATAGCTACTTGGTGGCAGGTAGCAGAGTCTGTTCTTCCTATCGCTTTCCCATCTGGGTGATCTCTGCTGTGATGTGGAATGTTTTCAGAGCTGATGGAAAGCCAGGGATGTGGGGAATGGTCTGTCTACTCACACCAAGAAAAAACCCTGCTCTCAGCCCAGCCACAGGTGCCTCTTGAATTTTTTATTTTTTTAAAGACAAGCTCTTAATTCATAGCCCAGGCTGGTCTTTCTGGGATTCTCCCGCCTCACCTCCTGAGTGTGATTGCAGGCATTTCCCCTACCTTGTCTGTCTGTCTTTCTAACTTCTTTCTTTCGTTCCTGTGTTTATATCGTGTATGCATGTATGTACATATATCCGTGGTGGTGGGGCATGCTTATGTGAGTGTATACAGAGGCTGGGGAGGATGTTAGTGTCCTGATCTGTCTCTCTCCACTTTTATCCCTTGAAGAGTCTCTGGCTGAACCTGGAGCTCACGGTTGCAGGCTGGGCTGGCAAGCCCTTTCTGTCTCTGCTCCCTCCCTTAGTGCTGGAGTTACAGACTTGCTCATATTTCCAGGCTTTTATGTAAGTGCTGGGGATCAAAACCCAGGTTTTCAAGCTTGTATAGCAAGTACTCTTAACCACTGAGCCATCTCCTAGCCTGCCTTTTTGTTTTTCCTGAGGACATTTTCCAACGATTACATTAAACTGGTAGAGAGTGCTAGAATCCCGCAAATGACAAATCTTTATTTAGGTGATATTATTAGATGCCATGTGCTGCCTTTTAATAGTATCAGTCCCTAAGGTGACTTTTTCATTAGAGCGTCCAGAATCTGGGTAGTGTCTCATCAGGGCCATGTCCTTTTAGAAGATATCAGATAACAAGTCACTTGAATTTTCTGGAGCCATGGTTCTAGAGATTATTATAGAGTCTCTGAGTGTGTTGATGCCTTCAGTCACAGGACTTGGGAGATGGGGACAGGAGTACCAGGAGCATAAGGCCAACCTGAAATACATTGTTATGGAAGATTCCAGCAAGCAGGGATTAAGGATATACTTAAAGAGATAGAAGAAACTATTTATTTGTGGCCAGAAACCCAAGGTAATGCTTTGGAAAGGTCCAGCACTGCTTGTATATGTGTGTGTTGTGTGTCCATACACTTACCTTTTCTTTCTTTCCCTTCCTTCCTTCCTTCTTTCTTTCTTTCTTTCTTTTTTTTTTTTGAGACAGGGTTTCTCTGTGTAATAGCTCTAGATGTCCTGGAACTTGCTTTGTAGACCAGATTCACAGAGATCCATCCGCCTTTGCCTCTTGAGTGCTGGGATTAATGGCATGGGCCACTAGCCACCACTTTCAGGACTGGAGATCTGGCTCAGCGTTTAAGAGTACTGGCTGCTCTTTCAGAGGTCCTGAGTCCAATTCCCAGCAACCACATGGTGGCTCACCTAAGTCAGGAAATTAATGGGTGGTCTTCGAGGTTCATGCCCACCAAAAGGGATTTCTGTCACAGGCATATTTACAGAAACAGAAATTGCAGGAATAAACATCTCTGCAGATAGATGTTCTGCAGGCAGGTGATAGAGGTATGCAAACGTTTGTAAGCAACAACAAAAATAATTCCTTTCTTAGCACATGGGGCCTACAGTGTGTCTTTGAGGGTTACTTCTTTAAGCAGCTTTTGTAAATATTGGTCATTCAAAGATGAGGGGAAGGGGCTCTTATGCAGGAAGAATTCAGGAAGCTCTAGGTGAGACTTTAACCCATTCTGTTTCTGTCTACACCATCATGGTTTCCAGGAAAACATTTCTGTTAGATTTTTATCACATAGAGCAGTGTAGTTTGGCTTTTAAGATGCATATATAAGAGTGATATATATATGTATGTATGTATGTATGTAGACATATATTCATATCCCCTCATCAATATAAGACTATCTCAAAAAATAGTATATATATATATATATATATATATATATATATATATTATAGAAACAAGCTTACTTGATTTTATTGATTCAGTTTGGGCCATCTAATCTTACCAGAAAATAATCTAATCAGCATATTCTTTTTCTGATCTAAAATGCCAGCTTCTGACCCCTATAAAAAAAAGAATCAGGGGCTGGAGAGATGGCTCAGCTGTTAAGAACACTTGTTTCTCTTGCAGACAACTGACCCAGGTTCCCAGTACTCACATGGCAGCTCACAACCATCTGTAACTCTAGTTTCAGGGGAATCTGATACCCTCTGGTCTCCATGAGCATCAAGCATGCACATGGTGCACATACCTACATTCAGGCAAAAGACTCATTGGCATAAATAAGTACCTCTGATGGCATGTAAGGACATTATATGATGTTAAAATGCCAACAGTGCTTTCACACATGTAGAGTGCATGAAATACTGTGTTTAATTCACATTACTATTCTTTATACTGTGTATCTATCTGTCTGGTTCTCTAAGGGGAGTGTCACAGAAGTGAACCGTCAAATGTCCCTGGGTTTTAGTTCATTGTACAGCTGGACTGTCCAGGAGTAACCAGTTTCTTTTGAATAGGTACAGGCCCCCAGACTTTCTCTGTGCTGATTGGAAACCGAGAATGGATGAGGCGCAATGGGTTAACCATCTCCAGTGAGATCAATGACGCCATGACAGATCATGAGATGAAAGGACAGACAGCCATCCTGGTGGCTATTGATGGTAATCTCTGCCTGAGATTAGAACACAGTTCACCCTTCCCTGCTTTGTAAGAGGCCTACTCTGCTCCGTCCCTTCCCGCTCCATTCCCTCTCCCTCCCTTCTGTTCTCTTCCATTCCTTTCCTTCTTGCCCCCCTTCTCTCCTCTTCCTTTTGCTTGTCATTATTTTTCTTCTTATTTTGAAAACAACAGCAACGACAAAACGGAGTCTCCCTTTCTGTTAGTTTGATGTGCCTTTCAGGTTGCCTTGCTGTCTTTTCACTTGGTCTCTTCTCTTGAGGCCATTACTACTTTTATTTTTGAGATTATAATATAATTGCACCATCTTCCCTTCCCTTTCCTCCCTCTAAACTCTTCATTATACCCTTCCTTTGCCCTCCTTGCCCTCTTTTTCATTAACTGTCATTACATTCATATGGCTGGTTTTGTATGTTGAAATGACATAAGATAGCATCATCAGAGAGTAAGGAACTTCATCTGAGGAAATGCCTCCATGAGATACAGCTGTAAGGCATTTTTTTCAATTAGTAACCAATCCTGGAGAGTCCAACCCACGGTGGGTGTTGCTATCCCTGGGCTGGTCCTGGGTTCTGTAAGAAAGCAGGCAGAGCAAGCCATGAGAAGCAAGCCAGTAAACAGTGCTTCTCCATGGCCTCTGCACCAACCCCTCCCTCCAGGTTCCTACCCTGCTTAAGTTCCTGTTTGAGTTCCTCCATTGTTGGACTATGATCTGGAAGTGTAAGCTAAATAAACCCTTTCCTCCCCCCCCCCCCTTGCTTTTTGGGTCATGGTGTTTCATTGAAGCAACAGAAATCCTAACTAAGACAATGTAGATGCATGTATGTGTATATTTTCAAGGACGACCATTTGGTACTGGATATTCAATCGGTGTCTCGTCCCTGGGGAAGACCATTTCTCCCACTTAAAGAACTCTTCAGAGTTCTTTAAGAGTTGAGGCCTTCCTTTGTCACCATCTCCATCTTGATCCAATGCTAGCTCTGATCCTAGAAGTGGAAAGTGCTTTCTGTTGTGTTTGCTTCTGTCTAAGGTGGCAATTTGAAGTCCCCCTTCTTACTCCACCACAGATAAAACAGGAACACACTTTTCCAGAGGCCTCACTGCAGAAGCCTTTAAAGGATGGAGGCCTCTGCAGCTTCCTACTGTCCTACTGGGGTTGAACACTGTTTCTCATAACCATAGGTGTCTTAGCACTCACAGATGGGCACTGTTTCTCATGCATGACCATAGGTGTCTTAGCACTCATGCATGTATCTGCCAGGTGTGCTGTTGCTGATTTCAGATGCTTTGTTTCAGGTGTGCTCTGTGGGATGATTGCCATCGCAGATGCTGTTAAACCAGAGGCTGCCCTGGCTATATACACACTGAAGAGCATGGGTGTGGATGTGGCTCTGATCACAGGGGACAACCGGAAGACAGCCAGAGCCATTGCCACTCAGGTATGACAGGAGCCAGACATTCTCTGTCCTTGAAAATTACAAACAAGCCCACTGATGCAAAATAAATAAGTTAAAAACAAAACAAAACAAAAAACAAGTGGTGGTGCATGCCTTTAATTTTAGCACTTGGGAGGCAGAGACAGGTGAATCTTCTTGAGTTCAAGGTCAGCCTGGTCTACAGAGTGAGTTCAGGACAGGCTCCAAAGCCACACAGAGAAACCCTGCCTCAAAACTGTAGATAGATAGATAGATAGATAGATAGATAAATAAATAAATAAATAAAAGTGATCTAAGCATTTGGTGTAAAAACACACTTTTAATTTCAGCATTCCCAGGCAGAGGCAGGCGAACCTCTGTGAGTTTGAGTTCAGCCTGGTCTATGAAGCAAGTTTCAGGCAGCCACAGCTACATTGAGACCTTGTTTCAAAACCAAACCAAAATAAACAAACAACAAAAACCAAATGGTCACTTGAGCATTGTGTTACAGGAGTGCTTTTTTTGGTTCAACTTAACTGATGGACTGAAGTGAATTCTTGATGTTGACCCAGTTAGATTTGAGCTTGGGGCATGAGGACAGTATTGATGGATGGCTGCTTGTTGGTAAACCATGGCTCTGGGGTGAATGCCTGAACATTGTACTTCCAGCCCTGCCCACCATATCATAACCAGCCAGACATACGCAAAGCTGTGAAAACTTAATTGCTGCAGTGGGTTGTTACGTGCATTTTCCCTCCAGCCTGGTCCCAGAGTTGCATCAGCACCAAATAACACACAGAGACTTTATTAGTTATAAAGCTATTGACCTGTGGCTAGTGTGTCTTATTGGCTAGCTTTGTTTTAATATTAACTCATTTCTATCAATCTGTGTCTCCATGTGGTTTTATCTTACCAGAGAGAGGGTCTAGACCACCTTTCTCACATCCTACATCTTGACTCCTCTCTAATACGTCTCCCAGAATCTTCCTTGTCTCCTAGTCGCACCTATCTTGCTTTCCTATTGGCCAACAGTGCTTTATTCATTAACCAATAAGAGAAACATGTTTACAGAATGACATCTCCCATCAGTGGTCTCTGCTTCTGTTCAACTCTCACATCAAGGCATTGATTTCCTTCCTTCCTTTCAGGTTGGCATCAACAAAGTCTTTGCTGAGGTACTGCCTTCTCACAAGGTGGCCAAGGTCCAGGAACTCCAGAATGAAGGGAAGAAAGTAGCCATGGTGGGCGATGGAGTGAACGACTCTCCAGCTTTGGCCCAGGCCGATGTGGGAATTGCTATTGGGACTGGCACAGATGTTGCCATTGAAGCAGCAGACGTAGTTCTTATCAGAGTGAGCTCGGCTGTGCCCAGGTCACAGGAGGGGCTGGGGTTGGCATGAGTCCATTATTCAAGTATTCTCCTCTCCTGTAGAATGACTTATTGGATGTGGTGGCCAGCATTCATCTCTCCAAGAGGACTGTCCGTAGGATCCGTGTCAATCTGGTGCTGGCATTGATTTATAACATGGTTGGAATACCTATTGCCGCAGGTAGGTAGGGGCAGCTGTCACCTGTGTGTCACCTTTGGTCTCTCTCCATCACTTGGACTGGCCAGCCAGACACAGTGTGAGACGTTCTGAGAGGGCCTCATAGCTTCATTCTTTCTGGCCCACCATAGGCCGTCAAGGGCTTGGCCATTCATTTAAGGTGACTCTGTTCCCTGAAGCTTTATTGAGACATATGGTCTGAGGAATAAGCGTCATGGAGTATTCTGAGGCACCTGCTATGCCAGACACCACAGTGAATATTCAGAGCCTATCTTAAAAATGAATCCTGCCCAGACTCTAGTCTAATCCCTACAAATGATCTGGAGAGAAAAGGTATTTCTGCTTTGGAACTGCCCTTCCTCCCCTACCACCAGTAATAACAGTAATAATGATGATGATGATGATGAAACCAGGCCAGGGAACATTCCAGACACTTCTGCGAGGCTTTGTAGGCTGAAAGGGCCCGAAAGTTATTTTTTTTTTAACGTGTGTGTGTGTGTGTGTGTGTGTGTGTGTGTGTGTGTGTGTATGCACACATGGATATTGAGGTCAAAGGACTCCTTGTCAGGATCAGCTCTCTCATTCCATTATGCAGTCCTTAGAACAAACTCAGATCATTAAGTTTGGCTGTAAGTCACCCACTAAACCATCTTTGTTAGCCCCTGTCCTAAAGTTCTTAAGCACGGCTTTCCTGCCTCTGTTTTTCTTTTGTGTCTAAGTGGCTAGTAGTGACTTCCATAATAGAAATTACCCAGTCTGCCTCAGCCTCCTGAGCCAAGAAGCCAGACAAGTGTCTTTTTAGCTCCAGTGCTGGCTCAGGAGCTTCATTCCCTTCTTAGATGCCTGTCTGGGATCTGGCTTTCCGCCCTCCCTAGAGACCAGATTGTTATCTTTGTAGACAAGGACTGTGACCATCCACAGTGTTTGGTCCCTGTGGTTCCCAACCCCTGAGCTGGGTGGTGCTGCCAATACATAGTTCTAATCAGGACAGGCAAGAGAGATTCCTGTCCCCTTCGCCACACCTTCTGCCAGCTTTGGAAGACTGTAGGAGGACTCTCAGTGCCCCCTGGCTGTCAGGTGACACTTGCCTTCCTCTTGGCAGGTGTCTTCATGCCCATTGGCATTGTGCTGCAGCCGTGGATGGGCTCAGCGGCCATGGCAGCCTCCTCTGTGTCTGTGGTACTCTCCTCTCTGCAGCTCAAGTGGTGAGTCCTGGGCCTGGAGTACCCGCTGGGGTCCCACAGGCTCCACTGTGTAAGTTCACAGCAGGTGGGGGCACGCCAGCCTGCTTCCTGGTGCTTGTTCCCCATTATTTATCTGGGGGCAACACAAAGGACCTGAGTGGGTTTCTGTAATTACTTTTCAGCACTCTGGACAAGAAACTGCCCACTTAGCAGTTGCCATAGGCTGGGCCTTTCTCATAGTCTTAGGAGCTTTTTATATGAACACATGTAAACGCATGATTCTGGTGTATTAGCATTTTTTTCTCCTTAACAAAGATGCTCATGGACTAGGGATACTACTCACTAGTAGACCACCTGTCTAGCTTATGTGAGGCCCTGGGTTCAGTCCCTAACACTGCCAAAAAAGTAAATCATTGACTTACTTATTCATTTAACAAGAGCGAATGACAGCCTGTATATGGGGGTATTTACATAGAAAGTTTCTGGGTCAGGGGAACTGGAACCATGGGAATTCGTTCCCTTCAAAACCCATGAAATTTTGTGACATGTGTTACTGAACAATGTAGATTTCACCTGAGAAAAAGAGCCTTATGTCACGAGTGATTCAAATACCCTCGGATTCTTGCCTTCCAGCTATCGAAAGCCCGACCTGGAGAGATATGAGGCACAGGCCCATGGCCGCATGAAGCCCCTGAGTGCATCCCAGGTTAGCGTGCACGTTGGCATGGATGACCGACGGCGGGATTCTCCTAGGGCCACATCGTGGGACCAGGTCAGCTATGTGAGCCAAGTGTCTTTGTCCTCCCTGACATCAGACAGACTGTCTCGGCATGGTGGCACAGCAGATGACAGTGGGGACAAATGGTCCCTGCTTCTGAGTGACAGGGACGAAGAGCAGTGCATCTGAGCTCCAGGTGGCAGCCCTGGGCAGGCCAAGGTGCTCTTTCAGGTGACACTCAGTATGGTTGAGGCTGCAGGCGCAGCCCCAACAAGCAGCAGTAAGGAGAGTAAAACTTAATCACGAGCCCCAAATGTCCTGCTAGCCTTCCCACAGTATGTGGGAACTTGTCTGGTGTATCTGCAGAGACTGTGTAGGTTTGCTCTTTCAGAAGCCTGCTAAGATGGGCAAAGCACACTGCTGTCCCTGTTTTCCATGTGGGCAAAGTCACACCCTGTTTGGATTATAGTACTGGAGAGGAAGCCAGCACTCTTCACAGTACTCTGCCTACTACATTTGCATAACTGTGTGAAATGAGGGACCATCAGTATCAAACCCCTAGCCAAGCCCCATGGAGACCTCCCATGCAGAGAGCTCTCTCCAGAGCTTTCCCACACCAGGAGCTCCCAGAAAGCTTGGAGTTACATAGCACACCTGGGCCACGTGAGTCTACGGGTACTTCAGATGTGCCTGTTGTTTTTTGCCTTGTGTAGTTGATATCCTTGATACTGGGATATGCTTGCCCTCTGTCTTCTGAGGATAGAATTCTTGTCTTGGGCCAGATAATCTGATTCTTGCATTTGCTGCCTAAAGGTACCTCCCTGGTTTACACCCCAGCCTAAAAGCTTCCTGGTGTCCCTCTTTACTCTGAGGAGAGAGTTCTGTCTCACATGGACCCACTTCTGCAGAATTGTACCTGCTGCTCCCAAACAGCTGCAGGGAAGCCAGAGTCCATTTTCCTGTGGGGTCCTTGCCACCCAGCACACACTATATGGCTCTGCTGCAACCTGTGGTGCTTAAAGCAGTGTCCCTTGGGGTATGTATGCATAAGGGATCCTTCCTGCCACCTAGTGGGGTCTAGTGGAGTTTGTCACAAATGCATAGTGCATGTGCCATCATCAGAAGAGTGAAGTTCTCTTGAGAGCTGCCTGCTGCTAAGGGGACATCTAATAGAGGGACACCCACAACTCTCCAGTGTACAGTGCATTGGTGATCAGGTAGCATCAGAGGGCAGGAATGGCTCCAGCTTAACTGAATGGCTGAACTACCTGGAACAAACTGGCGGAATCAGATTACTCCCCACAAAGAAAAAAAAATTCCTCTATTGAATCGATTGAATGTCACTTATTGCTAGAGGCAGTTAGTACCTTTTTGCAGGCTGTTTCTTTACCCCCAAAAGTAGCACAGTAGTACATTTTAAAAACTAAGAAACAGATTCAGAGGGGCCCAGTGTCTTCCTAGGAACTCACAGCCAGTGTACAATTAGTTGGGCATGAAGGCTTTTTTCCCATACTTCTGCGGTTGTCTTAACTATCAGTTTGCTTAGTCAGAGTAAGCTAAATAAAGGTCCTCCACTCTGGAGGAGCAGATGTGCCAGAAGATGTATTAGTTGTATCAACTTAGAGTGCAGTTACTAACCTTCACTCTGGATGGTTAGTTTCAGTTTTGCATATTAGTAGTTTCTGCTGTGTTTTATCTTCTAAAATTCCAAGTACAGAGATTTGGTGTGTTCTTTGTCTCTTCCCACTGTGTCCACCCATTTTATCCCTAGCTTCGTTTTGGAATTTTTTTCCCTTTGGAATAAGGTTATCATTTTCTAAAGAAGCTAATTGTATTGACTTTTTTTTTAAACCTAAGAACAGAGGCATCATGCTCGCATATAGACGTGAAAGTATTTATATAATTGTACAAATAAATGAATAAATAACTTTTTAGATGTTCAAAGAGTCAGGAATCTTTTATGGCTGCAGAACAGTTCCTTCTACAGAAACTTTCCAATGAGCTGGATAAAGTTGCCTCTTTTCATCCAGGAGTTGCCTGTGGCTTGCTCTGTCTGCATGGTCAGTTCATGCTGCCTGACTGGTGAGGACTTCTTCGGAGGGACAGAGAATAATAGGATTCTAGCAGTGGGAGACATGAGGTAGTATGTAAGGAGTACGGTTTTTCTGCCCGCCGCCACGCCAGCCCCAAATAATACACAGAGACTCTGTATTTGATACAATGCTGTTGGCCTGGTTACTTGTTTCTTATCGGCTAGCTCTGTCTTAAGTATTAACCCATTTCTGCGTATTTCCACGTGGTCTCCTTACTGGGGAGTGAGGCAAACGTCTGGTCTCCCCGGTTTCTCCATGCTGACTCCTCCTTCCTACTTCCTCTTTCCTCCTTGTCTCCTAGTCCCTCCTATCTTCCTTTCCTATTGGCCAACAGTGCTTTATTATTAACCAGTATGAGAAACATATATAGAATGACATCTCCCATCAGTAGTAGGAACCTTACTGCCTTACCATGGTCAGGACCCTTCTGCTGAAGGCCTCTGGCTGGCAGCTGCCTGGCATGCAGGACTGCTGGGGGGGCCTTTGTTGAAGTCATTGCCTCAGTCAGTTGATTCTGCAGCACAAGCATTAGTCAGCAAAGGATATACTTTGGGAACCTTGCCTTGAAAGAGTGGGATAGAAGACAGTGGAAAAAGCAAGACCAGGGCCTTCTGCTGGGGAAGTGAAGTTCTGCCTGGATACCCTAATGATATAATTTGTCATCCAAACCAGGACACCATGATGAGTGGAAAGTGTCACCAGAGAGGCTGGTGACATAATCCTTTACCAAAGGTACAGGTCTTTCTCTTAGTATCTGTATCTCAGGGCCAATATTTACATGTTGTGGCTCAGCATGATGGCATGACTAGGTAGATGGCCAGTCCTTGGGCATTCCTGCATGCTGTGCACTGCTTGGTCTCTGGTGCACCCCAGAGGACTTCACAGCCCACCCATGGAGCTTCTGTGTGCCATGGTGAAGAAGCTGTTGCTCACTGCAGGGAGGATTTAGCAAGCTTCCCTGAAAAGCTTCCTCGTGCCTCAGGTTGAATTTCAGCATCTTCCCATTCCTGATATTCTTGATAAAGTGAAGAATTGTGACAGGATTACCTTTATAATAAATTAATGGTAATTCCAATTTTAATGGCATTTGGAAATTGGCATGTCATAAAATAGATCTCTACTACTGTGCTAATTGAATATGGAATTGGAACTAATAGAAATATAGGGTAGAATAAATCCGACAATTTTATTTAAGTAGGAAAACATTACCTATTAAAAGATTTGGGGAGATTGGGGGCTTTAAATACCTATGTCAGAGGGCTAGAGTGGTAGATCACTTGCCTGGGAACCACAGGGCCCTAGGGTTAATCTCCAGCACAAATAAAATAAAGTAAAAGGGAATTTCCAAAGACATTCCCTAATGTACTTAAAGTTCCTGAGTTATAAAAAGGTTTGTTTACATACAACACAATTCCATCTTTCTTTGGAGCACAAACCAAAGGTAAGTGGCCTGCTGGCTCTTTTTTCCTGAGGGTGTTTGTGCTTCCCTCTGAGGGTGTGTGTGCAGACTGGTTTGGGGCTGTTGGAGTTCCATTTTCACTCTGGGCTTGGGCCAGGCGAGAGTACCATTGTTCAGGGTCATTCCATGGTGAGATGTCTGCTGTCTGCTCTTGTCCTTTGTGTGAAGACAATGACAACTGAAATTACAGGATAGAATGTGAGAAGGATAAGTAACACTGAGAAATCCCAGCATTGCCTCTCTTCCATTCAAAACAATGAATAAACAAATGTAAAAGCATCCATCCAAAGACTAAAATGAAAATAAGATCGATGGAAATTTAACATTCTTTCCTCTGAAGTAGAAATGACTATTATATCTTCTCAGCATAAATAAAATGGTTCAAGAGGGTGTAACTTGGGTGGAGCGCTTGTCTAACATGTTTAAAACCCCTGGTTTGAGCCCAGTGCCAGCGAAACCCTCTAATTCCTACAGTGACGATGCTAAATGTAGAAACAGAAAGTTGGTGGAGAAAGCTGCTGCATAACCCACTCTGGTGTCTGGAAGAAAGCCCAGGAGCGGGATTTTGTAGAGGAATATCCTTGGTCTTTGTAGGTGGATGCCTCAGGATACAGTAGTGGCAGAATCTCTGTGGCTCCTGTGGTTCAGCCTTGATCAGCTATGACCACTGAGCATAGAAAAGATGCAGTGACTATAGGAATGACTAGCTGTGACATATTGCAGGTCCCATCTCTCATTTTGTGCTTCTGGGGTTCCCAGCCTCCCTGTATTTGTATTTTGACTTTGAGTACATGTTGGAGTGATACTATGGTCATCACAACTCTCACCATCACATCTGAGTTTTGTTTTTTACAGGGTGGTGAATATAGATCTATTTGCATTCCTCTATGTACAACCATCTAGTTGGATCAGTACTATTTGTTGAAGATGCTAGGTTCCTGTTCCCAACCCCCACCCCAAGTGTGTATTTCTGGCTTATTTGTTAAAAATCAGGTGTCCATAGGTGAGAAAACTTATGTCTGGGTTCTCAGTTCCATTCTGTTGATCAATCTGTCTGCTTTTATACCTATACTAAGCTGTTTTTATTACTGTGTGTTTTCCATATGAAGTTGAGACCTGTTTTTTTTTTTATTTCTGTGAAGAAATGTTTTGGAATTTTGATGGGGATGGCATTGAATCTCTAGATTGCTTCTGGTAGGATGGCCATCTTCACTATATTAGTTCTACCAATCCATAGCATCTTTCCATCTTCTGGTGTCCTTTCTTCAATGTCCTAAAGGTTTCATTATACCATTATACAAATCTTTCACTTGATTGTTTACAGTTATTGCAAGATATTTTTTGCTGGGGGGTGGGTGGGTGTTGTGATAGCTATTTTTCCCTGATTTCTTTCTCAGTCTGTCATTTGTATATAAGAAGGCTACTGGGTTTTGTGTGTTAGTTTTGTATCCTGCTACCATAGAACTTTCCAGGTAGAGGTTTTTTTTTTTTTTTTTTTTTTTTGTGTGTGTGTATTCTGCAAATAAAGATAATTTGACTTCTTCCTTTCCTATTTGTATCCTCTTTATCTTCTTCTGTTGTCTTATTGCTCAAGCTAAGACTCAAGTACTGTATTGAATAGGTATGAAAAGAGTGAAAAACCTTGTCTTGTTCTTGATTGAGATATGCCCCTTGTATCTCTGGTCTCTCTGGACCTGGCTGGACTCACAGAGATTTGCCAGTCTCTGACTCCTGGGTGCTGGGGACTAAAGGCATGCACCACCACCATTCATCTTATCTGTTATCTTTTGTGTTCCATAAGACTGAGGTGTGGATTTTGATTGACCACATCTTAAAATATATGTAATATATCTTATGACTCTGTAAGAGCCATAACAATAAAAACAAGATGTTACTGGCACAAAAACTGACATGTTAGCCAATGGAACAAAATCAAAGACAAACATGAGTGCATGTGACTTCAGCCACTTAGTATTTGACTAAGATGCCAAGAGCAAAAGCTGGAGAAGAGCAAGCAACTTCAACAACAGAAGAGGAAGTTGCATGTCCACACATAGAAAAATGACGTTAGACCCTGCAACACTGAAACTTCTAGAAGAAAACATAGGCAGTGCCCTCTGTGATG